AGAAACCAGGCATGATTTCACCTTCAGTGGAAAGCAATGCACAGTGGACTGTGGCCTTGAAAGACAATTCAGATCAAGTTGCAAACTCTGTTAGGTGCTATATATAGAGCACTAGGACATTGTAGATACACAGCATGGAGTGAGTGCACTACTCAGTGCTCACACATCTGAGCTGTGGGACAAAAGAAAATGTTTAGTACTTTAGTACTTGAACATTTGAGGGGAATAAAACTAAATGTGAAAAGTGTTTACTCATATCCTGTCGCTCAGGCAAAAATACACGCCCACATCGCCTATTGACATTTTCTTCTTACGTAGTTTGTAAGCTTTGTAGTAGAGATTGCACTCAGATTAAATCAAATATGACAGAATTTCTGAAAAAAATTTATAACCATAAATAATTCGCTTGTCAAAGGCCTACTATTGCTTAGTTTTCTAGTTTGTTTGTTCTGATCTCGTTTGCAATCTTACATTACACAACGAAATCTGACATTAACTGTTAAGTAAAAGCAACACGTGGATCAGCCAATGTAAAAAAAAAAGTGATTATTATTAACCTTCTGCATAGTCATGTCTGTGTCCCTTGTTTTTAGGGCAGGTATCAATACTCTGCTTTTCACCTAATGAACACAGGTTAGCTGCTGTTTAGCATCAAGCCATTCAAATGTTGCATGGCACATACTTTCAGGTTAGCTGAAAAAGCGAGCCTGTCATAACAATCCAAACCCTGGGTTATTCGGCTATATTAGACACTGGTTAATACTAGCTGTTGCAGCACATAGTGGTGCGTGGTTTGGAGGATGCGTGTTGCTGATGTGAACCCCAGCAGCAGCGAAGCGCTGTGGAGGAGACTGGCTAACTTTAGCATGCTAATTCAGATCTCCGCTCAGCGCTAGCTGAGCTCCGAGCTGACGTCGCCGTAGCACACATCTGCAAGCGAACCAATGTTAGCTAACGGGATCTGAACTTTCACATGGGTTTGTCACTGAGCTCAAGACTTTCTACAAGAGCACAAACTTAGACGAGCTTTCACACACAAACAGAGAGCTCGATGCACGCCATAAGCAGCGTGCTCAGAGAGTGTCAGTGTTGGGAAAGAGTGGATAGTCCATACCCCATTTGGCAGTGCGACGTGAAGAGGCCGATGTGAGGACTGACGGCCAGCCGACATTCCCCGGAGTGGCCGCCGCCGCTGCCACTACCACCGCTTGCTCCCTTCACTTTCCCGCAAGATGCTCAGTAGTCTCTCCTCATCAAATCTGTTTGATTCTTAAATAAAAATCACAGTCGCAGTTTGGTGTCAGTCCACGGTGACAAATAACGCAGCGCGTCTTGTGGCTGAAGTTTGGCATGAAATGAGAGGACGCGTCACCTTGCAGCGGTTCATGACTCCCACTGTTCAAGATGTAGAAGGGCAGGACGAGTCCGCAGCTTATCACTCCCAGCATTAGCATGTCCGCACGGGCATGCGTATGGCACTGGACTTTTCTGCAATGCACTGGACTCTGGACACTAGTTCTATTTGTATAGTTTTTGAAACAAAAATATACTAATACCTACTGGCCAACATGTAAGCACAACAGGAAACAAATACGTTTGATACGCTGCCTTTAAATATATTCAGATAGGCTATTAGCAGTCACTTAAATGTGTTCACCATATATTACTGTGTTGCAGACCACACACTGAATATTTAATGAATAATATTCAGATGTTTTGAAGCCTGTGCTGTTTTCCAGATGACTGCTCCCTCTGGTGGTCCGGGTATCTGCGGATGCCCTCATGTGAACTCAGCTCAAATTAAGTGCTCTCAACATACTACACCATGGTAAGCTGACTGCAACTTCCTCCTACCTGTTCCATGCTAGTGTATGTTTGTTTATGTTGATTGATGTTGAGGATATTGTAGGATTTTACTTTGTCATTTGAGTTGGAAATGAATCAAGTTCTTAGACTATTGGACAAATTCACACCTGTTGATCACTGATTGTAAATATGGGCCTATTGGCTATGGATGACCGAATCATTCCATTCATAACAAATGCACATACTTTACTTTAGAGGGTCTGTACAATTATTTAGCATCAACACTTTTAAGCTTGTTTTTGAGTGAGAAGGGCACATGAATCTAATCCATCCATTCCAGTTAACAATTTTAAAGATATGGTTTATTCCCCACTCTGACATGACAGGCAAAGTTATTAGGTTCAACAGAATGAGGCAATGAGAGAGAGGAAATAAATTGTTGGGGTAAGGTCAAGAAAAAAGCAGAAGGGATCAGTGGGGACTTGGAGACCTGCAGAGCGACTGAACAAGTGAATAAGGCGGACGACAAAAAAGTGAAACTATGTTGTCATGGAAACTGGCATGGATCTGAAGAGAAAAACAAGAATGTAAATTGGTTTGCCCTTAGGTATAGTGCTGCTGCTGCGGGGAAGAAATCATCATAAATATATAGTCAGGGCCTCCCATTATTGCATATACAAATAATGCCATTTGCAAAACTAATGTATGCATTATAACACTGCTCACGCTGAATGCTAAAGGATGGAGACAGCAGCAAAACAATGCCCATAAGCAAATAAAATAATACTGTATAGGTGGTGCATTCTGTCTCAATCCCAAAAATGAATATATTTGAGCCTTTTTTTTACCCTCAATGGGATGGGCTAACTCATGTTATTTTTGTTATCTGATTTTAGAGATAATACAACATAAAATGGTGTAAAAACTGTTTTCTGTGGTGATTAACTTTATCATCACATGGAGTAATGGAGGTAGCATGGTTCACTGACCATTTTCTTTTTATGAAGAACACTGTGTATTCAGGACACAATGGCACAAATTGAGATCTGTACCAGTAGAAAAGGCATTTTGATATAGTTTGATCTTTGTAATAACTGCTTGGTTTTGTGCTTTGTAAGAAACAAGGGAATAGAAAAGATCAGATCAGATTTTGTAAGATAAATGATAGACATGTTTGTCTGGTCAAATTTAATATTGTGAGTGCCCGAAACTGAAATTAAGCCGAATCATTGAGCACAGTGGATTTAACACTGTTACTGACATTTTGATGTAGAACAAGATTACAGGCTAGAGTGAATATTGTCGGTTCACTGTTGTCCAATGATTTTGTGGCACCATGAGAATTGGGACTGGCTGCTGTCTTGGTGGAGGTTTGGTTTATTCCTATAATGCATCAAGTCTTGATCTTTTGATCAGTGTTTCTCAAACTGTGGTAGGTGTACCTCTGGTGATACGCAATCCCTCTACAGTTTAGGCATTTGTTTAATTTAGAGACAAATCTATTATATTTTTGTTCTGTTTTGGGTTAGTCATCAGTCATAATATCTTTATCTTGATTTAGTCTCACTTTAGACCTTGTTTAGCTCTAAGTTAGGCTTTGTAAAGTCTGGATTTAGATCTGCATGTATGTGGAAGGTCACATAATATTATACATACATAATATAATATTTTTAATATTTTAGAGGGTTATTTCTAATTAAAATTGATTTAATTTTAGTTTGTTTTCAGAATAAAGTTCTAAAAGAAAGAAAACATGTTTTGATTTGATGTAACTAATATAATTGATTTAATTGAGAAACAGTGAAACACAATAGTAGAAAACTGACAGCAGATGGCAGCAGAGTCTAGACGTCTTCTTAGCTTACAACCTTTGCAATTGCTAGATCAAGTAGAGAAATAAGTTTTGCTTTGTTAATAACTTTATAACATCATAACATCAACATCATTTTATGAACATAATTGATGATCAGTAATTGTTGTGCTTTTCAGATATTTTCTTGTTAGTTGTCAACAATTGAATTTTACTATATTTTATGCAAAGTGAATATAAGTCAGTTTTGAACCATGAACTAATGAGTGGTGGCAGTTCAGTCTTTACTATATTGTTTTTGTACGTAAGATAACCAGATTTACTGTGGTTTGTGTTGGTATTGTTGTAATATCAGAACTTGTTCTCTTTAATTCTCTATGAAATACAGCTTATTTCATCCTAACAAAAGTACCATTTAAAAACAGTGACAACTTATAGCTCCTGTTCTGCACTTTCTTTTTTATTTGTGCTTAGCTGGTCTTATCTGCTCTTGGCACTGGTCCAGAGGTGTCTTTACAGTGGCCTGTTACACAGCCCTTTACACTGTGTGTATAGGTATTTGTAATGAGAGACACAGAACCAGTGGAGCTCATGAAGTTTAACGGGGGCCACACGAGGTGAGGTCCTTCACTATTTGTGAATCAGCGCTGACCCTAAAAGAGGTTATGGGCACTGGAGGTGTTGCAGTGACCTTTTGTAAGCTGTGAAAGTCTGTCCAGCCCTCACAAGCAAACTGTGTGCGTCGTCCATGTGGCAGCAGCCCCTCTCAAAGCGCCACAGCTCCAACCGTCTGGATCCTATTAGAC